ACAAGACACAGAGAGCGGCCGATTGCAACCCTTGCTTCATGATAATAATAAAAACCCCAGTCAGACACAGAAGCTCATGACTGTGATCCCAGCATTTTGGGATGCAGTGGCAGGAGGATACGTTGAGCCCGGAAGTTTGTCGGGAAACTTCATCGTTATGAAAAATACAAAAAACCCTGGAGTATGGTGGCGTGTGTCGTTAGTCCCAGCAACTCAGAAGGCTGAAGCGAGAGGACCGCTTGAGCCCGATTGTTCAAGTCTGCGATGCACTCTAACCCGGGCAATATAGCAAGACTCTGTATCTACAAAACAAAACACAAAAAACCCAAAGTAGGTTAGGCTAATTCATCATTTCTTATACTTGAAATTTATTTATTCTATGTCTGCATATTTAAAGCTCGTTCCTGCTGACACACACCTTCTTGATGCTTCACCCCTCTCCTTCCATAATAAAAGGCGCCGGGCAGCCCCCTTCAGGGAGCCAGCTCTCAAATCTTCCTCCCGTGTTTTCTCCTTTGAACAAATTCCCAGTAAAACCTTGTCTGAGGATCTGTTTGGTCTCATGTCAACGTATAATACATGAGAGTCGAAGAATCTGTGGTCACCAACACTTTTCTTTTTGAGTTGGAGTCTCACTCTGTCACCCAGACTGGAGTGCAGCGGCCGCTCCCGGCCACCGCAGCCTCTAACTGCTGGGCTCTGGCAACCCTTCCGCCTCAGCCTTCCAAGTAGTTGGAGTTACAGGCATGCACTACCACACCTGGCTGATTTTGGATGTATCGTAGAGATGAGGTCTCTGCCTAGGCGGGTCTCGAACCCGCAGGCTCAGGCGCTCACAAACTTATTATTATAATGAAGCAAGTGTCGCGATCGGGCACTTTTTTTTCAATGAATTTTTCTTCCCGACCACACGAGCGGGTACACTACTACCAATCCTTTCATATAGTATTACAATAATTGTTCAAGGTTTGCTTATGAGTAAGAACATGTGATACTCAGTTCTTTGTTTCTGTAATAGATCACTCAGTATTATAGACTCTAAGTCCATCCAAGTTGCTGTGAAGTTCATAATTTTATTCTTCTTTATGGCTGCATAATATTCCATTGTGTATATGTACCACATTTTTAAAATCCAGTCCTCTTTCAATGGGTAGTACAGTTAGTTCCATATTTTTGCTATTGTAGATTGTGCAACAGTAAACATGCATGTGCAGGTATCTTTTTTGTAGAGTGATTTAAGGTCCTCTGGGTATATTCCCAGAAGGGGTGTTACTAGGTCATATGGAAGATCAATTGATGTTTGATCTTATAAGCATAATCATGTCCACATTTGTTACAATTCTTAGGAAGCAGAGATCTTTTAATAACATATCGCCAAAATGTATGCTTACTTTTTAAGTGCTGCTCAGCATTAAAGAGATGCTTTTGAATTTCCATCTACCATCAACTATAACTGATTTCAACAATTTCTTTTATGAGGAGGGACCCTCAAAAATCAAGAATTTATTAAAAATTGTGTATTTATTTTTACATGTTTAAATTATAGTCACCTTCAAAGTACTCTCCATTGATGCAATACACCTATCAAGATGCTTTCTCCACTGCTCAAAACCGTTTTTGAACTCATCAATTTTGATGTCCTTTAGTGCTTCTGCCATTTTTTGTTTCACTTCTTTCACATCAGCAAAACAGTTTTCTTTGAGGACTTTTTTCATCTGAGGAAACAAAAAAAAGTCACTAGGGGGTGAGATCAGGTGAATAGGGTTGGTGGGGCATCA